TATGATGTAATCAAATGTCATTTGTCGTGGTTGTGAGTGTCCTATTTGCATTATGGTATGTGTTGATGTTATTAGCCATTCGAGATTCACCCTTCTCGAACTGGACCTACGATTTAACCAAGTTTATTCCTTAAATGTTTCAATTTCTACACTTGGTTTTAAATGGTTTGTTTGGGGCAAGCAAAATTCAAGTGTGGGGTTATATGACGACATGAAAATTTTAAATTTTTACACCACTATTCTTTGCACATTTTTACAAGAATTCTATATACTTTCTCACATATTCACTTGGATTTTCAAAGTAGTGCTCAAGTCATATTTAGTAGGCTTTAGGTATTATTTATAACTTTTGATGCCCTTTGGGTAGTCTTTTGTGTGTTTTGGGCCAAAGCATCATAATGGACCATCTTCTATATGCTACGGACATCAAGAACAAACTTTCGGAAGTCAGAAGCAAAGCTAAAGTCCAAGCCCATAAATGACAGCCAATTTAGTCGAGCATAAGTCCAAATGTGATAAAGGTGCCATTTTCTAGAATGGCTATATTAGATAATATTTTGACATATCTTCGCTACTTGGAGGCTAAGCTAGAAGATATATGACTTGGAGACTTATCCTCATATAATATCTCTCATAAAACCTATGGAAAGTCTTATATGTAGACCCCCTCGACCACCAGTTGAGGATAGATCAAAACACGTGGGTTACTTTGTCGACATAACAACTCACCAAAATCAGAAGGAATTAGTAGACTCGAGGGTTGGAATGGCTGCCAAAATGGCGCCATTGGCACCATTTTCCCTCTTAAGCCTCCAATTGAAAGATCTTAGGTATCTCGTCTTCCATACTGATGTACTCCTTAGATTATGTCCCCATGATTACCTAGTTCGTTAGTTGTGTAGGTTGGCAAACCCTAGTGGTTCCTCAGACAATGTAATAGTTAATTTTGGGTATATATATAGTGTGTTTATTTAGTTCATCTTATTATCTTTATTTCAATGATTGAGTTAGCGATTATATTGTGTGGATCGTAATAAGGAATCCCTCATGGTTTTGTTATAATGTGAAATACACGTCCGAACAAATGTAATATGACATAGCATATACGTGTAGTTGGTTGACCTACGTATCTCCGTTTCCATCTCTAGAGGATAAAACATGGAATATGGATGGATGCAGAAGCATAGCGAGTGGAGAAATCCATGTGGATTCTCTTAATCACATATGTATATGTAGCCTATTGTAGTAGAGAGAGTCTAAGAAAACTATAGAAGGAGCTAGCATGTGCAACCCCCTTTCCTCTACTGCGTTCCCTCGTTCACTCATTTTTTTCTTTTCCTTTTCTTGCATTTATTTCCAAAGAATTCAAGGGGAACCTCAATCCCAGAAGCACCTCAGCCCATACAGTCTATTTTCTAAGAATGAAGTCTTCACTGATTGAGTAGTGGGAGGTGAAAGATCCCAAGGAAATATGATCATGGTTACCACCATGTAAATTCGACCCCTATTCTATAGCATGTCAGGTTGACGAACTGTGTATTTTTCATTATGTTTATGAAATTTGCTATTATGGTGTTAAAAGAGAATATTTATATGCACAATTACTTGCAGAAACATTGATATAGGTTTAATCTAGCGTGGTAAATCCACCATTTTACTTCTAGGGCCGCGCATGCTAGAGTTATGTTGGGCAGTCTAAGTCCATTAATTTTGAGCTTTTTTTTAAACAAGACTTGATCCGATGATTTAGGATTTAATCTAATGGGTTACATACGCCATTTTACTACTAGGGCCTTCATTTATTTGTCATCACATTCCCTAACCACCAAGAAACAATTATTATGTTTGTTGGTTCAACATTCCCTCTATTGGTTTTGTCTTCTTTCAGGCTCCCTGCAACTATTTGTTGCAAGTTGAACAATCACCTCTTAATATTGGTGGACCATTAGGATAAGGAAAATGGTACTCATTGAGTCTCATTGGTTGCCTTGTGTCATAATAAGTTCAAGGAGGATAGTGGTTTGAGACTTCAATCTTTAACGTTGCTATGCTAGTGAAATAAGGCTTGCAGACCCTTGTTTCACTAAATATTCTGCTCGTCAAGATCTATAAAGCTTGTTACCACTTACCACCCCATTTGTCACTTCTTGGAAGAAACTATAGCACATTCAATGTCTTCTTGGGCTTGACAGAGCATTCTTGAATGGTGAAATTGCCGAGAAGGGAATTTGTTGGAAAATTGGTTATGGTGTTGTGGTTTGAATTCTTGAGAAATCTTGGCTTCTAACTATTCCTCTATACATTCCTCGTTTGCATCCATGGGAAGTTTTGGGTAATCCTTTTGTGGGTTCTCTAGCTGATGATCAAGCTTGTTCCTGGAAGAAGTCTCGACTGCAAGAGCTATTCTTGCCGCCAACAATTAGCATCATCCTTTCAATTCAACTCTCCTACTAGTGATGCAAGAATAAACAATTTGGCATTACAAAAAGTGTGGGACCTACTATTATTTATAGGTACCTCTTCGTAAATAACCCACCATGTACAACTTACCAGCCTTATGTTTAACCGAAGAAAATACTAAAAAAGCTAGGTGGGAGATCCTCTTCATGGAGTTAGCTACACCGACCAAACCACTTGAAAAACCTTATTGATCTTTACAATTATGTTTGTTATTTGATTGTTTAACATGGTATCAGATCCTTGATATCGAAAGATCTTGGTTTCATTGATTAGCTAGGAAATGGTTTGTCTTCGTTTTGCTGTTTTGGCTTTGTCAATATTGGCACCAACTATCGGCTGGGAAGAGTTCAACTCCGAGTTTATTGTGCAACTTCAAATTGGGGTTTCCCCTAGTCTTAGCAATATGGTATCTCATTCTTATCATTTTTGTTCATATGTTTTTTATTGGGTTTGTTTTGTGCATTGGATCTGAGAAAGTTTGATTTTGTGACGTCCTAAGTTTGATGGGAAGAACTTTTCCCTTTCGGAATTTCAGTTTCGGAACTTTGTTAAAGGGAAGCAATGCCTTGGAATTATCACTAGCAAAAATCCTCGCCCAATGGTTGGTGCTGATGAGAAAGCCAAAATGACTGGGTTACCTACAATGCGCAGGCGATCTCATGGCTCGTAGCCTCCTTTGAAGTACCCACAACACTCTGTCAGTGGCGCTTTACTACAACTCACGAGATGTGGGCGCATCTCGTTGCCACCCATTCACAAACTAGTGCATCTTGGCAATTTTCATTGTAGATGGAACTTAATCGTCTATATCAAGATGACAAAAGCATTTTGAACTACTATCAAGCCGCTCTCCATCTCTGGACTAAATACGACCTACTTGATGTGTCCATTATGTCTCATGAAGCTTCGACTGAAGTCTAACAAGAATGGAGTCGATCCTATGTTCTGCAATTTCTTATACACCTCTATTCTGACTTTTAGTCTATATGAGCATCATTGACTCATCGGAACGCTAGACATGGACGAGATAGTTGCTGAGCTCGTTCGCGAAGAGACATGGCTGAAGAGTCAAGCTTTGCCCAATCCAACAATGAAATGACATGTATTGCCACAATCCATCTCAAGTTTTGTCCAACGAATTATGCCTGCCTAACATAATACTAATGTGATTTACTACGGGGGCTCTTTCTTTATAGAACAATGACTTTCTTGTATTTGATATAGACAAATTTATGAATATTAAAGATCAATTTATAATTTCATAGCATTATTATTATTATTATTATTATTATTTAACGTATACATTGGTGTTTAATCCATGATTTTATTGTTACTTCATTTTGTGATGATGCTCAACTGGAGATACAGTGAGGGCTCACTATTGATGACACACTTGCAGTTTGCAAGGAGCTCTCCAAGAATACATTTGCACTCTCACTCATGCCCCATTTTCTATTAAACTGGGTCAGTTTTGCTCCTAACAAAAATATCCATTTAATAACAAAACGCTATCATCAATAACAAAAAGCTATCATCGAATATGAGTCTACTTTAACCCAATTACTATTGAAATAACACTAAAATATCACATAAACAAACGAGTTATTAAACTCTACAAATATCATATTAACAATTAATCCATCCAAACAACCCTACATTCGGTTTTTCTTCTCGAAATATCTATGGCAGGAAAAGTACAATTTCAGTAGAGGATAGCCAAACTGATATTTAGGGATGACAATGGGTCGGGTTGGGTCGGGTTTTGCCAAACCCAAACCTAAACCCAGGGGTTTATCCGTGAAAAAATCCGGGGTAAAACCCACTGGGTTTGAAAAACTCAAACCCAACCCAATCCGCTGGGTATCCGCAAGTTCATGGGTACCCACGGGTTTTTGTCGTAAAATTTTACAATATCAAGTTCCTATCAAAATTAAAGTCAAATATCAATCTCTCAATATAAATTATCCATATATAAAACACCATTCTAGAAAATTCAAGCAAATCACAAATTAACTATACAAATTTGTTCAACACCAATCTAGAAAACTCAAGAAAATTGAAGCAAATCACAAATTATCCATAAATAACATGATTAATTGAAGGCTTCTTCCTTTCAATTAAGTTTTTTCACTCTCCACTCGATAACATCAACTTCATGGGCCGGGTTTACCTAAACCCAAACTCAAGCCGGTGAATAGTGAACGGGGTTAAACCCAAACCCGACCTAAAACCCGTCAACACGAATTTTACCCGCGTTGACCGGGTTGGGTGGATACCCATGGATTCGAATTTTGTTGTCATCTCTGCTCATATTAGCCCTCAGAATTTTTGAGCCCAATAACATAACTTCCTGGCCTTGGCCCAATTTCCCGCTCTACTGGTTTCATTTCAGAATTTCAGATTTCCCTCCAAAGTTCGAAAAGTTCCATTCGAATCCGAACTTCCCTCCACCAATTCCCAACATTCTGAAATTCCCAAATTTCAAAAATCGAAGTCGAAACCCAAAACTTACACCGTACACTTCCCGCTCTTCCCGTATAAAATGAGCGCCATGAACTTCCCACGATCCTCAATCCATCAACCAAAACAGATCTTCCTGCCAAGCTCTGCTTGCCCATCTCTCTCGTTCTCCGATCCCTAGAACCCTCACAAAACCAGCAGAGTTTCTTTCCGATATTTTTTGCTGACAATGGCCGCCGCCCAAAAGTCGTTTTCGATCTACAAGTTTGCTGATGCCGGCCGCGATCTCGCCCAGAAATCCCAGACCGGTGAGTTACATGTCATTGTCGGTCCCATGTTCGCCGGGAAAACGACTGCTCTCCTCCATCGTATCAAATCCGCAGGCAACGGTGGCAGGTTTGTGGTCTTTAAAATTTTTATTTATTTTCCGGTTGAGTTGACTTCAAATTAGGTCTTTCAGAAGTAGATCTGTGGTGGGCAAGTGGTAGATTTTTCAGGGGAGGTGGTTGTAGCCGGATTGTTTGACAAATTTGAATGACACGTTTGTTTAACTGGGTTCGTCAATCATCTGTTTGTAGAAATGTCGCAATGGTAAAATCGAGCAAGGATAACAGGTACGCTATTGATTCAGTCGTCTCCCACGATGGTTTGAAGTTCCCTTGCTGGGCATTGACGGATCTCACTTCCTTCGAAAGGAAAGTCGGAGTGGAAGCTTATCAGAAGGTTACCCTTTACCTTCCACACCCTCTCCCTTTCTGTCTGTCTGTTCAATTGAAACCAATTGCTTATGTTGTCTGATTGATTGGATATGGTTGATTCATTGTTCACAGATCGAAGTGATTGGAATCGACGAGGCTCAGTTCTTTGATGACCTATACGATTTCTGCTGCAAAGCAGCGGATCAAGATGGCAAAACTATAATCGTAGCAGGGCTTGATGGAGACTACTTGAGGTAACCGTCAATTCTCTTATTGGTGTGCGTTGATATAATTTTCTTGTAAAAGTGACCCTGTTCCCGTCATGCTTTTGATATCTGCAGAAGGAGCTTCGGGTCTGTCCTTGATGTGATACCGCTGGCTGACACAGTGACGAAGCTGACAGCGAGATGTGAGCTCTGTGGCAAGAGAGCGTTCTTCACGTTGAGGAAGACGGAGCAAACCGAGACGGAGCTGATAGCTGGAGCTGATGTGTATATGCCAGTGTGCAGGCAGCATTATGTTAATGGGGAAGTGGTTAAGGAAGCCACGAAGACTGTTTTGGGGACCTCTTCTAAAGCTGTTGGGGCTCATTGTTCTTCTAGTGGTGCTGATGTTGTTGCAGTTGTGTAGTGCTGGGGGATTGAAATGGGTATTAGGAAGGATGGAGCCTTGTTTCAGTGTTGTTTATTTGGGGTTTTCCAACAGTTTCTTGTCTTGCTTCTTATAGTTTGTATAGTGTCCTGATCGGTTTTATAATCAAAGTTCATATGGGATAGTTTGGCTAGAAAGCTGGGTGTTTTCATTGGCCTCAATTTCCACAATTGTAGTATTTAAATTCAATTCTTACATTTGGCTGGGCAAAATTATCATAGGACTTGGGGTTGGAACTTGGAAGGCGCTGATAACTGAATGACAGGGACTCCAAATGAAAACTGGGTCTCAATTATCTTATCTCTAATTCATCACATCACTTGTGCACCTTTGAGAGTTACTCGTTCTTTCTTCTCCAACTTCAAAATCAAATTTCAGTCCCAACCTTAGCTCAAAGAGAGAGAAAGGAAATAGAATTATACCAAGCCAAACTGAAATAAATAAAACCCAACCAGAATATGAGTTCCCCTTTGACTCGTTCTAACTTAGGTCACACAATCCGTCCACTTCACCCTCACGCTTCCCATTCTAATCCGCCAAAACACGATTTTTCTAAAGTTGGTGAAAAAAACGCGAATTATTGTCTGGGGGAGCGCGGACTATGGTTTTGGAACCGCGTTCTTTTCAGGAACTCAATCTGTCCTCTACTCTCCCTTTCCAATCGGCACTAGACTGTAATTTTCGGTGATGGCCAATTGAATGACGGAATTGTCGCCGAGATCGCAGTGCATGCGAAAGGAAATGAAACGCCAGCGAGAAAGTAGAAGTAGAAACTTGATAGCTGATTATCATAGATTGGATGCGGTGCAAGTGGTATAAAAACAACTAACTAAAAAATGAGTTGTCTCTTCTCTGCAAAATAATTTAGGGATTTGGATTTAGCAGAAGAGGGAAGAAAGAATGATGGAAGGGGAAAACGGATGGGACGAATGACGGACAAATTGTGTGGCTCTCGGTTTCTTTTCTTACTTCTTTCCTCTATTACTACCTCTTTAGTGGGCTAGGTTTAAATCAAACCACAAATTGAGCTATGATAAAGTAAAAGAGCCGAGTTTAATAATTTGTGACAGCCCAAATAGAAATTAGCCCGACTGAAGCAAACTCAATCTGGTGTACTAGACCCAAACTCAAAGTGTGATTTCTTTCTTTCATTATTTATTTTCGTTGGTTTTCTTTCTATAGGTGTTCTTAACGATCTTCATCAATTAAAGGTGCCTTACACTTCTTTGACAAAAAAAAAAAAAAGGGTGCCTACACTTTATTAAAAAAGCAATAATAAGTCTTTTAATTAAAAAAGAACAATAAAAAATAGTAGAGAAGACATATCCTTAGAAATAGAAACTAATGAAATATTGTAAAAAGCTTATGTGACATTGTCGTAAAAAATTGAACTTAACTCTTTACTAATGTAATAATTTGTATTAATTACTTCCTTTAATAAGTTTTTAAATTTTATATAATATTTTACTATAAATAATATTAATATTGACGCTCTCGTCACGCTCTGAAAATTCAATTCTCAAACTATTAATGCTTTCACGCTTTCGCTCCTGCTCCCGCTCTCCGAACTGTTAAGCTAAGTTCTAACTACACATCCCCTTCCCCTTTTCCTTCGTGATCCAATCACCATCATCATTCTTGAGACCAACCACAAAATTACGTTTTCTCTTGGATCTAATAATCGTATGGAAACATGCTATATTCTGATCAACCTTTTTAAACCAATGCACCCTGGAATTTTGCTGTCAGTAGTCGGCTAAGGTCGCCCTCAAGCACTCGCACTTCATCCCAATTAATTGGAATTCGTTGTTTGATGCAATATATCTCAGCCTAGAGGGTTTTGATGTTTCGTAAGGATTTTGTGGTCCCTGCCCTACTCTAATCATACAACAAATGACGGAGCTTCTTCAATCTGGTCCAAAGTTTGTACATTGGTGAGCCATGGATGTCCTCTTGCCAAACATAATTCACCATAGCCCTGACCTCCGGGTAGGGTTGTTCAAATGGTTATCGTGGTAATAAACAAACCAATTATGCCTAAATTCCATTAACCATGGAATAAAATGTCTTAACCAAACCGTCCAAATTAACACAAAAACCAAACCAAACCAAACCAAATTAACACGTATATCATTAATTGGTTAATTGGTTTCATTGGTTAGCAGTGTTGAAACCAAACCACCTAAACCAAATAAGCTAAATTGTTTAACCAAACCAAACCAATTATCCAAATTAACCAAACCAAATTAACCGAATGCTACCGGTTAATATGGTTACCATGGTAACCAATCCGTTTGAACACCCCTACCTCCGGGTTATCCGCCCACCGAGCGTCAAACCGAAAGAGTGGACGACTATTTCGGGGGGTAGTATTTATCAGATAAGAGAAACACTCGATGATCTGACCCCTGATCCGTGAAGAATTAGACAAGAGTATCAGGGTAATTATCAATCCATGCTTGGGAGCAAAGGGCACGATCTAGCCTTTCACGAATACAGGCTAGAACCATCCTCTTATTTGTCCAAGTGAACTGATCCCTTTGGTAGCCAGGGTCATGGAGACCCAGGTCATGAATGAAAGTATGAAGGGAAATCGAATGACCCGCATTCCAAGGATTGCCCACGTCTTTTTTTCACATGCATGCAACATGGTGTTGAAATCGTCAATCATCACGCAGGGAAATTGGATTTCATCACAAATATGTTGAAGTTGATCAAGCTAAAAAGCTCTTATTGATTCATTACAGCTAGTGTAAACACAAACCACCAATAAGAAAAATTCCCTTCATTAATACGAGTGCAAATGAAAAAATTGGAATGGGAAAACACCGAAGCATCAACTCCGGGGGACCACGCTACAACCAGTGGCGGAGCCAAAAAATTGGCCAAGAGGGTGTCTTTATCATATCATAAAAAATCACCTATATAATAGAAAAGTTGACTTTAAATGAAACAAGAAGTCAACAACGCAATACTCTAAATTCATACAATTACATAAAAATAGTTTCACGTACACCGGTTACAACGTCAAACAAATAAGATCGGTACATACAATTCAAAACTTCCATTCATCAAATATTACAAATTATAAATCAGAAGTACCTTGGAATTGATTTTGTGAAACAAACAAGTGAACTTCAATTTATACTTCTTCACTTTCAACTTTGTTTAAACAAAACACAAGAAATTCATCTGTTGTAGAGATACAAAAGAAATGAGCAAGTTAAACAAAAGACAACAAATTATTACTATAAATAAAGACGAAAGTGCATTGCATAACAAAACTCACTTGATCGAGATGGTAAGGAATTCTTCTCGCAACTAAATGGTCACTGGTTCGAATTTGTATATATCCCTACTAGGGATTTCCCCCCCCAAACCTAAGGCGGGTGCACCCCCCTCCTCTCCAAGTGGCTCCACCACTAGCTACAACTAGACCCCAAGATGCCGCGACAACATCAACAAAAAAAAAACATTGAGGAGACTGAAAACCTAATTCCCGCATACGACGTGATACTACTCTCCGGCTCGATCTTGTTTCTGAAAAGAAGACAAGCTCCGGTTTATTCGAATGAACTAAACCTACTGCACTTTAAAATGTGAGGGAGGGTCCAATTCCTCTCACATTCCATGCCAGTAGTTTCATTTATCCTCCTGGGGCCATTTGAGGTTGGCTTCCTCCACTTTCTCATGCTCATCTTCTTCATTTTCTTCCACAAACTGCTTTTTCGGACTGAGATCCCCTTCGAAACCCCCAACAGCATCACCCCAAGCTCGCTTTCTCCCTCCTATACCCGGGACAACAATATTATAGCCATATTCGTTCACAGTTATGATCACTCCAAAATTAGTAGGCTAGCCTGGAGAGGCAAGACCAAATTGATTGTGGAAATGTTAAGGATTGTTTTTAACTATTCAATTATTCATTTTTCGACTAACATAATAGTTGAATTATAACAATTTGTACCTTTTTTACACTTAGTCACTAGTACCTTTCAAGCTCGCATGGAAAGTGTAAGTGGTATGCCAAGTTAAGGTGAAGGACATAATTTACCTATTGAAGAGGATGATGGTGATGGAGAAGATTGTGCCAAAGATGACATTAAGTCGAACGAGGAGAGTAAGGAGGATACAAGTGATGGTATTTTTCTCACTACTTTGAAGCATCAAGGTGAGATAATGTTGGTGGTTTTGTCCTATTGGAGATGGAGAAGCTAGTGGTCATAGTAGCTATGGAGGGTGTTTTAGGTGAAAAAAGCATGGATGGGTTGCGCCTGAGCCTGACTGTACATGGGCGATGGGTCGTGCTTGGGCCGGCACGGTACGGGCACGCTTCGAGCCCATTTATTTCGTGTCGTGCTTGGCACGGTCCGTCAGTTTCGTGCCGTGCCATGCAACCCCATTTGTTAACTTTGCTAGGCACGACCCAGGCCCGGGCACGGTTCGAATCGTGCCGTGCCTATTCGTTCTCATGCCATGCTCGTATTCGTGTTTAATGAAAAGGACGAAAACAAAAGAGAGAATGAAAAAGAAGGTGAAAATTGGACGGGGGAATATAGTATTAACCGATAATGTTTGAGAAAAGTAACAAATAAGGGGGAAAAGAAAATTGAAAGCATAGCGAGTGTGATTTGGCTTTGTTTAATTCTTTGTCCATTTTTACTTATATTAGTAATTACGTATATATCTTTATGACACTTCTAACAACAACAAATAATTATTATTCTACTTGTGTTTTGTAATATTTGAACCTATAATTCTTTTTATATTTATTTTCTATCAAATAAATATTATTTTCGTGTCATGTCCGTTCTTATACTCAATAAAGTCTCGAAAATATTAGGCCCGACACGGCCCACTTATATACCGTACCGTGCCCATGCTCGTGCCCGTGCCCATGAAGTTTAGGCCCGACATGGCCCATAAATTATTCGTGCTCGTGCCGGGCTGGCCCATTTATTTCGTGCTCATGCTCGTACCGTGCTCTAACCATGCCATGCTAGCCCGTGGGTGGCACGGCCCGGTGCCCACGTACACGCCTGACTACTATGAAGGTGAAGATTGTTACTATGGTCCACATCTCTTCAAACACTGTTCGAACGAGGGTGTTTGGTGTATGGAGAATTTATGTTACCTTACACTACTCCTATGGAGATTCCTTGAGAGCTCCGCGACGAGTAACTAAGACTAGTGCTACGGAGGATCCTT